TATCTGATGTCTCCTGCAGACAGACAAGTATTCAGACAAATGTCCAAACACAAAGACGTGCACAGGTGGCAACAAGCCGTCGCATGTCAGGACATGATGTAAAAAATGCAGAAAAACGCAGAAAAACGCAAAATATGTCATTACTGTTCACAATAGAAAGTTGAAAGCAGAAATGACAATAGATCTGACAACAGAACTGACAAATGAACTGGCAACATAACTGACAACAGCACTGACAACAGAAACTGACAACAGAACTTGGGCGCCCGCAGAAAACTTTGGGGGGGGGGGCAAAAAATCGATTAACTTTCCAGGGGGGAGGGCAAAATTTTTTAGTAATGTTTTAATAAAGTTTTAATTTACTGTAGCGTATTTGTATGGTGAACGAACGGACAGGACATCAGCTTAGTTACTTTATCTTTATTTTCTCTTTACTTTAATACATTTTTTGTCTATTTTTGTCTAAACTTTTTTTTATCCAATCAATCCAGGGGGTGGCAAGTGCCCCCCTTTACTCCCCATTGCTGGCGCCCATGCTTATATTTGATTAATATGTCACAGCCCCACACAAGGTATATTTGTAAATAGTCTAAGATGAATTAAATAGAGGGCCAGGAGAGGGTTAAATCCGCCATTAGCTGTGACCATTGGTTTATATTATATAGTTATCTGATTCGCACATCAGACAAACAATTTGGGCTTTAACGCACCCGGGCACCTATGGGGGGGGGGTGGGGGTGGGGGTGTAAGTGACGTGAATTCTGAGAAAACGTATCCTCCAAAAATTGTTGCGTCTGCGAATTAAATAGGTCAGTGAGACGCGACGCGGACACGAGGACTACGTGAAGTGAAGTGTTATCATTCTCATCTCCTCACGCAGTTTACGAACGCCCGATAAACGGGTGCCAAACACGTCAAGGCGATGCACGCCTGAAAACCATGTCACGTGGTTGCAGCACGTAGACGTAGGCCCTACACCCTGTCTGACAAGGGAGAGTGGGCTGTCTTGACAGTAAATACGACCTAGTTCACAGTTGTGGAAGAAAGAAGAAAAAAGGCCACTGGAGAGATCTGATGGTTTCGCCTTTGTGGGACTGGTAAGCAAAATTGTAATTTAAATACATTTTAAATTACAAATGCTGTAGCTAGTTTCAAGGTTTAACATTTTAAAATTAATAAAATCGTTTTAAAAACTTTCACATAATTTTTGTGTGCTTATGGTGAGTATTCGTCATAATGATATCTAGATTAATTTTTACTCTTTTTGAATAATTTATAATCATCAATTAAACAGTGCATTTAAATTCATAGTCCACGACAGCATTGGGCAACCCAACGACCCGCGGGCCACATTCGACCCGCTTAAACATTTGACGCGGTCCGCGAGACCAACCGTGAACTGAATTACTATATTAAATATTCGTTAAATTTAACAAATTTTGAATCTTTAAAAGCCTTGACAATAAAATGATTTTCAATCTGTTCTCGGGGTCAATTTTCGAGGCCAATCTCTCATGATGTATATTAAATAATAGATCCTCGATTCTCAGATAATCTGGCCTGGCCCAAAAGTCCGTACATTTCATAAGCGCTTGAATATAACTTCTACACTTGGTAGCACGGTCTTTGCTGGCTCTATTCCTCAGTACATGCCAACGATATCTCTCTCAGTGTCGGAATAATGCCCCCACACTACCCACCCCCACACTACCCACCCCTACCCCCTCACACCCCCACACCCACATCCCCCCACACCCACATCCCCCCACACCCACATCCCCCCACACCCCCACATCCCACATCCCCCACACCCCCACACCCCCACCCTTTTTGACTTAACATGTGTGAAGCAAAAACTTTTAAGTTTCATTAGTTTGTTGTCGGTCGCGTTTGGGGGGGTGGGGTTGGTCTGTCCCTGCGTGCACATTTTTCCTTACATGAGGGGAAATATTTTCGGTCTCATGCCCCCCAATTTAAAAAAAAAAAAAATTTTTTTTTTAAAATACAATTTGTGGAATGCTTGACCCACCCCGGGGGCGGCACTGACCCAAGCTACGACACCGTTGTTTACAGTTTTTAATACAGTGAGCAGAAAGATAAACTGTACTAAAACTGCCGTATCCAGGCCCGTTCTTAGGCATACGCTGACTACGCATCCGCTTAGGGCCCCGAACGTGAGGGGGCCCCAGTGAGGCGCCCTCGATACCCCGTTTTTTTTTTAAAAATCTTGCACTGCAGCCGTCTCTGTCACTCACGTTACCTTCCTCATCCTGAAATTTATCATTCTGAGTTGAATTCGGAGGCAGGGGAAGGGAAGCAGCAGGGGGGGCTTTGAGGGTGGCAGACAGAAAATCGGGGGGGGGGCTTGGCCGTGGGAATGGGAAAGAGGAAACATTGATGAAGGCAGAATGGAGGTGCTGCAGTGGTGGGTGGTGTTTTCTCCTCAGCTCGAGGGAGCTCCCCCCCCCCGGACCCCCCTTCCGGGACCCCCAACCTACGCTCCATGCTTAGGGCCCCCTAAGAACGGCTCTGCCGTATCTTGAACGCGAGCGTGCGCTTGTGGACGCTGTACAGCTCCATCCGCCGCGTTCCCCTAGGGTGTCGAGGAAGCTGTGTGGGGCAGCTGTTGCTGGAGGTGGGTCTCTAAGGAGAAAGAAACTTTTTAATAGTTTTAGTGCTATTTTCGCTCACGCGGGAAAAAGTCGATGAAGGCAAGGGGACCCAAGTTTGAAAAAAGCAAAATTCGACAAAACTATAACTGATGAAGATTTAATAAGACGGAGCCAAGTAAAGACTGTTACGCTGTCTGTTGCTACGAAATCTGGCCATTCTGGAAGTACACCGCCTCAACGGAAGGGTAGGACTCAGGTAATAGGACTGCTCGGCCAGTAACTGTTTCAACAAATAGAAAAAACAAGCACGTGTTTAGCAGTATATTCTACATTCGCCCCATGCGAAATCTGCCATGAAAACTTTTGCCTATTAAGAAGTTTGTTTTTATTTTGGTCCAGAGACTTCGCGTTTATATTGGAGGCTCCCTGGCTCTTTCATTTTAGGTTTTGTGCCCACCCCCCCCCCTAAACGCCCCCCCCCCCACATCAAACTTTTGTCCCTTTTAAATATATTCGCACCGCTCCACCCCCACTCCTTGCAACCGCAGGTATCACGGTCTACGCCAGTGGTCCTCAACCTTCCTAATTCTACGAACCTTTAATACAGTTCTTCAAGTTGTGGCGACCCCCCAAAACACACACTTATTTTCGTTGCTACTTCATAAATGTAGTGTATTTTTGTTTTCCAATGGTCTTACGTGACCCCTGTGAAAGGATCATTCGACCTCCCCCCCAAAGGAGTTGCGTCCCACAGGTTGAGAGCCGCTGGTCTACGCGATTCGACGCAACTTACATCGGTGAGAAAGCTGTCTCCTGCATGATAAGCATCAAAGCAAAGTGCATGCCTCTGCTCACGTGTACACATTTGGTTTCGGTATGACCCATTTTAAGCATGTACTTCTTTCCGGATTATGGGAAATTTTATTAAAATCTACAAAAAATGTCACTGAAGGATATATCACTGAAGCCATGTCACTGAAGACCATGTCGCTGAGGAATATGTCACTGAAGAATATGTTGATGGAGGATATATCACTGAAGAATATGTCACTGAAGAATATCACGGTCTCTACTATTAACCTAGTTATCCTATTTCATTTTTGTTATTTATCACCTCAATACAATTATTTTACCTTAATTGAAAATGTTTTCAATTTATCATCTAGTTTAGTCTAGGACCCTAAGATTCCTGGAAAATCATCGAGCGCCCCCCCCCCCCACACTCTAAAAATAAAATAAATAAAATGTGATTTAAATGCCGCCCCTACACAAAAAAGTTGCCCCCCCCCCATTGTTCATTGGCTAATAGACATAGAGTTAGAAAATACGTTAACTTGACTGAACTAGACTCATGCACACATACAGTATATAACCTATATCGAGGAAACCTAGAAAAGATGTTGTTTTAAATGGAATAACAGGGCTGCGCAAAGTATGTCTCCAGGGGCGCCATGGTGCCGCGCCACGCCCCTGCACTCATCTGTTTAATGCTTTCTTGTCAGCCAATCCCTGCCATGCGCATATCGTCATACAGAATTGCCATATATTCACAGCAGAGGCAGCACATTTTCATGATAGTATTGGTATTCATTATACATGAAATTTTTATATCTTTGAAAAACAAACAGATTGTAATCAACAGCCAAGATGCGGTCAACGCTTGCACTGCTCACAGCGGCGGTTCTACTCCACGGCGTCAGCCCCACACAAAACGGGAAAACTGTTGTGTTTCTGCCCATCATGATAGTCTCCAGCCACGCAATGGTGTACGAACTGGTAGCCCAGGAGCTGGCCCTGCTCGGCCACCACGTCCACTTGGCTGTACCCTCTGCCTTCGCGAGGCGGCTCCGAACCAACTCGTCATCGGGCGTCCGCTACTTCAGCTACGGCGACTTCCTCGACGTGTCCGAAGATATGTTTATAAAGAAATGTGAAGAGACGCTGGGGAACGCAACGCACGGCGAGCCCGATTGGACGTGGATGCTGGAGTACTCCAGCGTTCTTTCGGATGTTTTCTTCCAGGCCATGAATGAAAGGGGATTGGTAGAATTCGTGAGGGAACTCAAACCTGATTTACTGGTCGTCGATTGGTCCCCGAGGATAAACGAGTTGGTCGCGGTACCCTACGCCCTGGGTGTCCCGTTTGCCGTGCTTAGTCCACTGTTCAGTGCTGCCACGGCCAGAGTTCCCTCCAACCCGATGGAGGACGCGATGAACTCCAAAAACTTCCGTAGCGCCTCGAGTTTTTACGAGAAGTTTCTCATCCTCTTGGACGTCATGTACCCGTTTTATTACGATCTGGTTTACGATACGGGGTACGTTGCTAGAATAGCACAAGATAAACCGCCCATCACGACAAGTGATCTTATGAGCAGGGCCGAGATCTTTCTGTTCGAAAACGACCACATTCTGGATTATCCGCAACCTTCGCTGCCCAATATCAAATTCCTGGGCGGGATAACCCCTGGGCCTGCCAAGCCGCTCGAGGAACCCTTCAAGACGTTCATGGACACTTCTCGCGTGGGCGTAGCTGTTGTGTCTTTCGGGAGCCTGGTCGTGAACTTCCCGAAGAATACGACCGACAAACTTGTGGCGGTTCTTAAGCAGCTGAGCCTCAACGTCATCTGGAGGGCCAACATCACGACTCCGGATCCCGACAAAATTCTGACCTCTTCGTGGATTCCCCAAAATGATCTCTTAGGGCATCGGAACACCAAACTATTTATATCCCACTGTGGAACACACGGCCAGTACGAGGCCCTCTATCACGCGGTGCCCGTCGTGTGCCTGCCCATCTTCTTCGACCAGAGCTACAACGCCGAGCGGTTCGAAGCCAAGGGGTTCGGCCTGGTTGGTAATCTTTGGACAGATTCTGTAGAAACGTTGGTCAGGGTATTGCAAGAGGCAACCAAAAGTGAGGAAATCAAACAATCCATTAGCAAAGCTTCGGAAATTTACCATCAGCTTTTCCAGGATCCCAAAAAGGAGGCAGCATTTTGGCTTGATCACGTGATAAAATATGGCGGTGCCTACATGCGCTCAAACACTCAGAAAATACCAATGTATCAGTACACTCTTATCTATTTTCTTTTCTTAATAGCAGGAATGCTTTTAACACTTTCTCTTTTCATGATATGTGTCACTATTTGCAAGGTCTGCTTATTTTTATGCAGCAGAAATCTAAAGCTCAAAGAAGACTGATAAACCTAGGAAGGGGCCGAACAAAGGGCAAACTAGACCACACCGTAAGAAGTAGTTGCTCAACATTTCTTGATATGGAAACTTGTAAAATTGCACCTGAAAGCGCACTAATGCCCATTCTTACACATCTTTTGCTCAAACTCAAACATTTGATTCCCGCAATCTGATTTCAACAGACACTCCAGTTGACAAAATTGTGATCAGGTATACTTCAAGTGGAAGGAAATCTAGCAAAACAAGTAAAAATCAAAGTAGCTTATTTGTAATGCTTACATTTACATTTAAAAGAATACCAAAAAATACAACACACATGAATGCACAAGTCATTTGCAACCAATTCATCAATGAATCAAACATCAAAACATGACATTAAATATACAATACATAGTTTGTACAATAAATTTCTGTGTACACCGAGAAAGAACTTTGTTAAAAACTTTTTCACAATGTTAAAACCTTCCCACATTGTTAAAAACTTTATATTAAAGCATGGATTACAGAGAATGAATAGGTTTTTTTTTTTTCTTTTTGCTTGAATGCTACACTACTTGTTCTCTAAAAATAAATGCATTCAATGGCTTCATAGATTTAAAAATTGTTTTAAAATTCTTTAAAGAATAGTGGCATGGCTCTTTCATCTACATTACAGGATGATGACCAACTTGAAACAGAAATGGGTTATACATGAAATTAACCGAACTATTTTTTGGGCCATTGATTGACATTTTGTTTTGGCTGCAGTGTTACGACTCTTAAGTTTAAATACATGTTTTTGTTGCAAACAGCTGGTGGTTGTCGAGTATGGGAGTTAATTAGTTATTGTTGCGACTGAATGAGTCATTGCCCGCGGTGTGTTTGAGAGCTGTATAAGTAGTGTACCCTCTTCCCGCCCTTAATTATCTTGGGGACAAATTATGGTCTAGACCGATTGGGGACGTAAGTTTTAATCGCGCGCCAGAGTTGAATGGATCTGTGTGGAGGTAGGGTGTATTATTCCGGGCTATAGCGAGCAGCGCTATCGATGCAAGTGTGCATGGAGTTGACAGCCTGCGTTAATACTATGATATTAAAGTTGCATTGATTGTGATGAAGGACTTGAGTTGTTTAATATTAGTACGACGTAATCAACGTGTACAAGAAGCGGGCAGATTATCCAACCCGGTAGAACAAGGAGTTGACAGTGGTGACAAATAAAATTGGGCCACAGTTGCTTTGGCTATATCATCATCAAGACAGGTCTGTCATTGCATGGGAAAACAAATGAAAGACTAGTTTTATTGGTCGACCTGAAATTGGATAGAGTGAAAAAATGGTGCAAGGGAAATATTGTCAACAAAGGAATCCAATAATGGATCAAAGTTCAGAAAGAGAAATACTGGACTCGGATGACTAAATGGGGAGATGTTCACAAATTAACCACCGTGGTTGGTAAATATCTTATCAGTTACGGAAGCCTTGTTAACAGTGGCATGTAAACCTTGGTAACACAAACAAGATGTAGAAAAATAATAATTAATTGTTTACAAGGGTGTGAATAGAGGAAAATCAACAGCATCCTTGCAAACAAGGATTTAGAATTGTTGAGTTCCTTCAGAAAAAATAAATAAAAAAATATTGGATCATCTTTCATAGGAGATAAAAAATTGGGGTCCTTTCAGGGGTGAAGGGTGGGTTTTTGGGTTGAAGGGGTGTGTAGGTGGAGGGAAGCCATTCCCTGGTGGCACTTCTCTATAGTGTTTTTATCATGGAAGAGGTATGGCTACGCCGCTCCCATCCATGTGGGCATTCAACCTATTTACGCCATTGGGTCCATTCGTTTATTTCCAAGCACCAATTTACCCTTTTTGACTAATTTTTGCACCAAAACAAAATTAGCGTTGAATTCGACGAAATCCAAATGATCGAAATAATGTATGAAACAAAACTAAATTAAACAAACTAGACATCAATAAAAAAAAATTTAAATGTGTGTTCCTTGTTGCATCTTTAGGATAAGCATTCTGACGAGACTACTCTTCTGAGTAGAGTAGGGTGGTACACCCTGAACATATGTCGACTACTAAAATATTCACACACAAAAACTATTTAAGTTACAAGTGTCAAATTTTCACTGAAGCCAGAGGAATAATCATTCTACCATAATAACACATAAAATATCAATTAAAATGTGCAGCATTATAGTTTGCTTACATTGAAAAAAAATTGGATGCTGGAAATTGGGATATCAAAAAAAAAAAAAAAAAAAAAATACACACAAAAACTATTTAAGTTACAAGTGTTAAATTTTCACTGAAACCAGAGGAATAATCATTCTACCATAATAACACATAAAATATCAATTAAAATGTGCAGCATTATAGTTTGCTTACAATGAAAAAAAATTGGATGCTGGAAATTGGGATATCAAAAAAAAAAAAAAAAAAAGAAATTAGTTAGAATGCTTTAAGCTCAAATTTATTATAATTTTGTAACCATATGGATTAGCTTTGGCGACAACTAGGAAAAATGTAATTTATTGAATACTTTTTGTATCACAGCATGCCAAAGTATCTTAATTTTGACATTTTAAAATCAAACTTTGATGGATTGTAAAATTTTACTTATTAATATTGGTTGATATTTTACAAAGTTATAATTTTTTATATGAATTAAACGTCGAAATTTTTGAATGAACACGCAATGATTTTGTTCATTAAGTAAATAAATTACCGGGTATCTATTAATTCATATCTCAGGAACTATTTAACCTAAATTAAAAATAGTTACACATAATTGTGCATAATTAAATTCACTTTAATTTGATGTCAATGCCTACTGTTAAAAAAAATGATTTGTTTCCATTTTTCTCGCTGTACCTCCCCCCTTTATAGTATTTCGGCAGCTAGCGCAACCGCACGTCATTTTGTTTTGGTCTAACATACTATTCTACAACTTATGCTGAAACATGTCAAAAGCTGCAAATGCTTTTAAAATGGCAAACGAGAAGGCAGTAAACAAGTTTTTGCCTTTTAGAAAAATTGCTCTTATCCAACAAGGATTTTCTCCTTTAAGCAGAGAAAGCAATAATTGACATCACGGACCCGGATATGGAATTTTGAAATGATGATTTTTGATGGAACCCCGAAGACGACGTTGGCATTGTCATAAGCAGAGTAGTACTAGTAGTAGAGTGACAGTTTGGCAGTAACTGCCAGTGAGTGTCGCCAGTCCAGTATCGGTATATAATTATAAATAATTTTGACATTTTTGAGTATCCAAAGTGACAAAAAAAGTCCCTATTCTGATGCTATAGTAGACAAGTAACATGGACATGAATGATAACAGCAACGAGACCCATTGGGCCCATGGGCAAATAAATGCACTATTTCTAGGTGCATGCCTAATTTAAATATTATAAGCAGAATAAAAATAAAATCCCAGCCATCTTCTGTCATTTTATTTTTAGGTTGGTGTTTCTCTTTTAAACATATTCAAACATCCAGAAAACAGCAAGAAATCATTCACTGGAGAAAACTATTTACCTGGTTTTATAAAGCCACTTGTTTTTCTAGTGTTCCTAGAAGCATATTAAATGCCATTGACCACTGATATTTTTGAAAAAAACATGGGAAAGACACAAAAAGTTTTGTTCACACAAAGAAAGGCTGATTTCTTTAATTTGATTTCAATTTGAAACACCTGCCATAATCTGAATTAAACAAGAAGAATACATTTTATTTATTGCCCATAAAAATATAAACATTTTAAAGATTTGATCACATGGCCACTAATAGTAATAGTAAAGTATTTGCAATCATATTTGCCAGATATGTTGTTTAACGACGATTATAGAACATAAACTTATGGATTATGGAACTGTACTGTGTAGTCTCTCTACACAATGTGTGGGGAGCAATAAATGGAAAGGATATTACCATTCAAAATTCTCCCAGAGTTGGATCATTGTATTTGAATTATTTTTTCCCAGCTTTAGACTATGCTGTTCCCAGCATTTTTAGCCCATAGAAATTTGATTATAAACTGATCCCACTGTTTTGTTTCTACCTCACCATAGAATCTTGAAGTATGTTACTGCAACCTCATCAGGACTGTACTTTAGGGAGATACAACATGATGCTGAGCAATCAAATAAAGAAGATTGAGGAGATGGAATTCTGGCATGGATTGGCTTAGCAAGCAAGAAATAATTGTTAAAAAATAAAGTTATTAAGTATTTTTATTAAGTTTTCACAAAACTAAATAAACCCAGTCACCTTGTCTGTTTGACAAAACACATACAAATCTCACACTGCATAAGGCCTTTTAATTTCTTCAGATTGCATATCCAAAATTCATTTTAATTTGATAATAATGATATAATTTATATTATTATATAATAATCACACAATAAGCCAAATGTTGATAAAGATATTTTTTCATACAATAATTTGTATTTACCTTCTTTAAAAATTAAAAAAAAAATTTAGTCAAACCTTGTGACCCCATTGGAACATCAGCATAGATTTTTAAACAGTCAGTTTTTTTCAACAAGTGGCTGTGTGTCAGACTGTTGATGTTTCTCACAAAAACTGTTTAAGACTTGATCACTTGTATTAAGATTTCATTAAATATTCAATGATGCCAGTCTACGGCCCTCATCATTGTTGGTTTATCTGGCAGGTCTGATACAAGACTTTTTTCTGGAGAGATTAAAGATGGTCGAGGCAGATAACAGCTCCAGTCTATGAGAATGAACAGCAATGAAAGCAGTACAAGAAATGTCTTGACGAGAAAGCCAATCAGATGGTCATGGCCTTCTTAGCTCAGAAGGTAGCCTTCTTAAAAATGTTTTTTTTTTACCTAAGATGTGGCTGTACTTCTCAATTTATACATTTAATCTGTTTATTGTTTATAATATCAATATATTATTTTTCATTAAACAATATTCAGTTTTAATTTCAATTTTTCTTTAAAAAAATATAAAACTTAATAAATACCCTACTTTTCCTATTCAAGATATTTTTGACATTGCATGACTGCAAATAAAAGGTTATTATTTTTCATTAAACAATATTCAGTTTTAATTTCAATTTTTCTTTAAAAAAATATAAAACTTAATAAATACCCTACTTTTCCTATTCAAGATATTTTTGACATTGCATGACTGCAAATAAAAGGATATTGAATTAACCAACCCTTGCCTAACCCATTTAGGACACATGCATAACTACGTTTTAAAAAGTAAATATAATTTTTTTTTAAATAAATAAAATATAATATAAAAGGAGCAATTTCATTTTTATTAAAATTTGTATTAAATATAAAAATGAATGAAATGGGATTATCATTAAAAAAATAAGTTTATCAAGAGAATAACATTTTAATTAAAATATTTGAAGTTGAATATCGCTGTATTTTCAAAAATACACTGACAGTCACCACGTCGCCATTACCTGTTAGTGTTATTATTTACTGATGCGTAACAGTAATGATTTTTAGAGTTTTTTTTCAGTTATACCTTCAACTCTCAACATTATGACTATTACTTTCTACATTAATTTCAATAAATTCTACATCCATACGTGCCATTGATTGATCATCTAAATTTGCTAGTGTAGTAAGCATAGGGGTTAGTCATGAATGAGTGTGGAAAGCCATGCTGAACTTGAACTTTGCTGAAAATAGGAACTAAATTACCTCTTCTGCTAAATCATTAACTCAACTTTATGGAAAAGCTCCTTTTTAGTAAGCATAGGGGTTAGTCATGAATGAGTGTGGAAAGCCATGCTGAACTTGA